AAGAGGTCCCTGCCCATGGCAGGGGGGTTGGATGGGACGAGCTCCCACGGACGGGGGCTGTGGAGGGGCAGGGGTCCCGCTGGCTCGGGAGGGGGAAGGCAGGAATGAGCTGGTGGCAGCTAATTCCGTTGCATTCGTTTCACGGCGCCTGGGGCTACGTGAGGCTCCCCGGGCTCCTTCGGAGGACGCCGTCTCCTGGGCTGACCTCCTGATCCTCGTTTGCTTGAAAAATATCTATTGCTCTGGCCGCAGGTCTCCGCTTTATCCCTCCCCTTTGCTCGGCCGCTGCGCTCCCCCAGGGCGCCGTGTTTGGTCTCTCACGCTCATGGCGCTGCTCCCAACTCCTCTTCCTTTGCACCCTCGTTTCCTTTGCACCTTCAGTTTCATCTGGGTTTCACTGTTGCGGTGTAGGACCCCATCATCACTTTATTTTCTCTTCCCACCCCCTTTCACTTCACTGCTGCGGGTAAAATAACCCAGACCTTTCCAAGCGTTGCCCACTCGAGGGCCCTGGAGCAAGAAATGCAAAAAACCCCCCCCAACCCGGTACTCCCGTCCTGCACCGGGCCCTCCGAGATCCTCCCCACACCTTCCTCCTCCTCTCCTTCAAGGCACTGGCTTCCCAGGTCCCAGCCAGCGAGTCCTCTTCCTCCTCCTCCTTCATCCCCGTCTCCATAAAACAGGGCGGCAGCGCCCAGGTTGGTGGGGATGACCCTCAGGACCCTCGGGGGCTATTGCTCCCCCCACGCTTTGGGTGCACCTCACCAATGGCACCAATAAAGCCAGAGCCACCAAAAGGAAAATCTTATCAAGCCAGTCCAGCTGGGACCTTTTCTGGGGGGATGGAGCCCTCCAAAGGGATTTAGGGCCCCGGGGGTGACCCTGGTGAGATGTCCCCACCCCTCCTGTGGCACCAGAGTTGGGCAGGAGGTGCGATGGGAGGGGAGGGCTCTGCACCACCCGTCCTCTGCTGGATTCCCACCGTGGCAATCCCACACCGGACTCGGCAACGTGTTGGAGATAAGGAGGGGAAGGGGGCTTTGGGCTGAGCCCTGGGGGGGCTGGCGCCCA